AAAAAAAATATATATATATATAATATTAATTTTTCTATTCTTTTATTATAATCGAATAAATATATGAATTTTAATTTGTTCTTCTAAGAATAATCATATATATAAAGATTTAAACAAATATAATATGAATTAGATTGAAAAGCTTGAATTTCGAATAAATAATAATAAAAGAATAAAAAGAAAAGAAAAATAATTTAATTATCAGAAATATTTATCAAAAAATAAATTTAATAGATTTAATAAATTAGAAAAATAAAATATGAAATTATTTCGAAATCTTCTAAAATATAATTTTTCTATATATAATAAATGAAATAGAAATTATGAAAATTCTAAATAATATCGAATATATATTCAATATATATTTCAGTTGAAATTTATATTTAATATTCAAAATTATATCAAGAATTACGCAAGAGGTTTTCAAAAATAAACGCACCGATGAAGGCGAGGTTTAAAAAGGTCAGAGATATGTAGAAAACAACGAGCACGACTAATACTATATTCAAGCAGATCGTTTAAAATTAAAACTTTAAAATATATTTCTATCTAATTTTATTTATAATTAGATTATAATGATTTATCGGTTTTTAATGAGCAGTATCATTCTTTTTTTTGGTATCTCTTAAGTCCCGATATGGGGTCTTGTATTTCGGTTAGTTTACGGTCAAAAGGGAATTTAGCACAATTCTTATATTTGCCAGGATTTTCTTGGAATAAGGAACCGGTCCGTATTATCTAATATTATTCAATTTCATTTCACGAACCTTATTTCTATTGGCCTCCACTTCTGGAGGGGCTGAATCTTTTGACGAGAATCAAAATCTCGGTAGTGCCGTGTATTTTTTGAAATGTGGATTTCTTTCAGACGGGGTTTCGCAACAGTCGTGAAGTTAGTCTCGAGTGAAGCTTTGCATAGAAATTTCAATCTTGGAGTGATCTCGTGATCAAGTCTCGGGGGGGAACGACCAGAATGATCGGATCAATGGTTTTGATTGTGAAATCTTTTGAATGTCATATCAATTTCAGCGGTCAGTTTTATTCCATCAGCCAATCTCATCTAAGAATCTCGTCGCATTGCCTCTCGCAGCAAGTTGTATTCGTTGGACGTACGACAAAACATGTTGATGCCTGGGCAGCGGCCTCGGATGCTGATGCCGCGCCCTGTGCCGGAGTTCAGGCCAACAGGAAGTTCAGAAATCAGACGATCGATACTATGTCGACACTTCTGCCTTTGGCTGGCCGTGCCTGTTCTACGAGGGACCGGACATTTGTAGATGCTGCTCGTTCTTGCAATCCTTCGGCAGCTGCCGTTGCCTGCGATGGTTGCGTCCGAATCGAAGGATTCCGGCACACGGCAAAGCCACCACTCTGCCTGAGCCATTGCCTGGGAGGCTGATGCCATGCCCTGTTCTGCTGCTGATTGGAGGTTCAGTGCCGTGGACTGATAAGCCTGCCGCGGAGCTGCTAGCTCTGAAGACCTAGCTACGGTCGACCCTATTTTCTCGAGTTGCGCCTCCGAATCCTGCACCTGCTGCACCAGCTCCATGAATCTCTGCACGAGGCGATCAAGCTCCTCGCAAACTGTACTTAATCGCGAATACAGATGCAAGCATCTGCTGGCGCCTCTGTCGTCTGCTGCTTTACGGCAGCCGCCCGGGCCTTGAGAAAGGCACCAAGCCAGCCAGCAGCCGACAGGCGTTTGCACACTGGTGCCTGCGCATCCTCTACGGCTTTCTGGCCATGCTCCTGTCCAAAGTCGTGAGTCTTGGCCTGCTGGACCGATGAACACAGAGTGTTAAACTGTCTCGTAACCTTCCAGCTGGCCGCAAGCTCCTCCCAAGGCTGCGTGCGCTAGCTTGCATCTTGCCCGCAAGCTGACTTGACGTTCTTTGGGCCTCCACATCTGCCGTCTCCAAGGCACGGGCGCCGGCTTCAAAGCCCATAGGGTCAGACGCACCTGACAAAATGCAGCATACAGCTGCCGCCCGCCCATGTTGGCTGAGCCCAACACCTTTGGCCGCAGCCTCGGCGACCCGTGCCCGAATTGCCTCCCAGCATGTAGGATGCACAGACAACGACATCTGGAAGATGAAGCGCCGTAGAAGCTGCAGGGATGCAGCTGTGAAGCCTAATAACCGCACGGAAGTATCTCTCTTCCAAACCGCAAATTACTACACCCTGCTCGCCGTACCACGTGACATGCCTGGCAATGGCAGGCCCGAATGAGAACGTATGTCCAAAGCCCATGGCCTCGACTTCTGCGACTCGCGCAGAAATCTGGGTTTCAAGGGAATTGAGCTGACTCTGCAGGTCCAGTTTCTCCTGGCTGCACAACTTGGTCACACAAGAGGCATGAAACCTTCAAGGCACTCATGTCTCCATATGGGCCAAGCCACCTTCTCCAAATCTGCCTTGGCCGATTCTGCGAGCGAAAGCTTGGCTCCCAAGGTCTCGCTGCCTTGGTCTGAGCGGCAAGACTGGGTGAAAGACGCACATCTAGACATGTGTTGCTCACTCTGTGGAGCTGAAACTTTTCTCAAGCTGGCTCGCTGCTCGTCCGTCAGCAACTCCGATTGTGAAACCGCCGCCCGTGCATGCGTAGCAACCTTCTGCTCCTTCGTGCGACAGCTGCAGAGCCATCGGCAGAGGTATCAAGGGATGAGATTTACCAGGAGGAGGCTTCGCTTTGTCTGGGTCTGCCGCTCGAGCCATACACGGCTGAAGCGACATTGGCGGCGAATGCAGAGGGCGCCTGCACAAGGATGCCCTGACAGCGTAAAGGGATCAAGCTTGCAGACATGCCTCAAGTCTCCTGGCTTCTTTTCTGCGAGTGGCCTCTGATGTCAGCTGTCACCAGCATATAAGCGCGGTTTGAGTATTCGGATATCATTGTTTCGGGCCGTAAGTAGGTGCCCGGGAGTGCAGTTGAAGGCACGAGGTCCTCAGGCATCAAGCTTCTTGAAGCCCCAGCTGTCAACTGACAGCGTGATGCCGTCGAACACGGAGCCGTTCAATGCCTCGATTGCGGCAGCCGCATCCTCACTGGATTTGAAGGCTGCACCTCCGCTCCCATTTCTGGCAACCTCTGCATAGAGACAGACAGGCCCTGCAGTGCACATGTGTTCCTTGAGCTTCTTGTTCAGCTCTACACTGCAGTTGTCTGGCGGCAAGCCCCCAATGAACACCTTTCGGTCGTTCGCGAAGGTTCTGAGACCACCCTTGCCAAAGCCCTTCATCATGGGGTTAAACATGGGCTGCCACACGCCGTAGCCTCCCCAGCTACTTCCACAGCCAGCATAGCCCTTGCCTCCACATCCAGGCCCACTGCTGTAGCTGCTGTAACCTTTGCCACATCCGCCACCGCTGAAGCCTTTGCCTCCGCCTGCACCTGCAAATCCTTTGCCACCGCCTTTGTCATAGCCACCGTAACTGGCACATCCACCAGATCCTCCTCCGTATCCCCCGCAAGCTCCGCCTCCCTTGCAGCCTGCTCCATAGCTGTTCCCCCAGTCCTTGCCACCACCACCCCAGTCCTTGCCGCCACCACCGCCACCCCAATCCTTGCCACCACCGCCGCCCCAATCTTTGCCACCACCGCCGCCCCAATCCTTGCCACCGCCGCCCCAACCCATGCTTAAGGCAAGGCCCGAAGCCCTAAGCTAATCCCAGCAGGCTGTCTTAGAAAGCCACGAAGGCGGCGGCGATGGATGCCTACCTATGGGTTGAAACCGAAGCATTAGTCCACGACGTGAGAACGGGTCCCGGCTCAGTACGGGTTGTGAATAAAGCAGCCTGAACACCGGCCCGAATGTGGTGCCCATGACTTATTGCTACCGTGAAAGGCTTGTTTTGCCGTTCGCAGACTGGTTGGCTGGTCTCTGGAGCGGCCGTTCGATGGGAAGCCTGCACAGCTAGCCTATAATTGGCCTACAACCAATATATAAAGCCCATCTTCTGCGGGCCACTATGTACACAATAGACAGGCAGGCGTGGAAAGCCTTGAGTTAAAGCTCTGTCTTGAGAGCACTCCGAGAGAGAAGACCTTCGTTCAGGAAGGGAATCATGAGCTAACGAGGCCTACAGCAACAACACAAGCAAAAAAATGTGCTGTTTTCTTCAAGTTTCCTCTGGACCTGCAGCTCAAAGATGATTTGCAAAACATGGCAAGCATGTGCGATTTGCAAGCGGCGCACCCCAAACTTGCACAAAGGGGATTGAATTGCTGTATGCGCACATAAACTTGAAATCGAGTGGCTCCAAGTACTGCTGCATTTGCGACAAAGCGTTGCTACCAATGAAGCTCTTCGCCGGCTCCTGGAAGCGCGTCTTCTTTTGTACGCAACTCTGGGCCGGCAAATCATCTGCTTTGGGCCCTGCCTTCTGCCCTGCCTCGATGAAGAAGAGCGTCGGGTATCCCTGGACAGAAAGTGCCCTACTGCTGTGCTTTTCAAATTTTCGCCCGGAAGAGCAAAAGCAAGAGCCAACCAAGCCTTCACTTCGAATCCGGTGATTGGCAAATCATTCGCTTGACCGTCCATCTTGGCAACAGAAAGGTCCTCCCTGTGTGCCACAACGGATGCAAAGGAATCCAACCTCACGAGAAAGTAAGTTGTGCTGCGGTCGCTCTAGTAGGCATCCGTGCACTGAGGGCCGCACAAAGGCATCATATTCTGGCAGTGTGGACAGCCTTTAGCCTCGGCCGAGCCTACCGGAATCCGCTTCTAGACTCGCGGTCAATACAACCTAGATGACCTAGATGTCAAGGGGGAGGGGCTTGACAGCTTCAAAGAATCGGATGCAGAAGTTGGACAAGAGTTGCGCAGGACCAGTCAAGGTGCTCGTATGGGTATTGCACTCTTGTAAGATTTTGTAACGGCGTAGCTTCAGCTTCTCGTCGCAGAATCCACCCATCGCTTCGCTTAAAGACATTTGAAGGCCAAGTGGCATACAGCATCAAGATGCAATGGCGGATGTCATTGAAGACCGTCTCAATGAAATTCTTCAGCACGACAGTCAGCACCGGACTGGTCTGTTGCACTGGGATGTCCTGATCAACCACCAGACTTGTAGGCATCACGGGTCGGGTGTTGGCTAAGTTTGGGGGTTCCGGATAATTGTTTTTTTTTGTGTTTGTTGTCGGGCCTCCTGCCTAGTCCTAGTCCATTGTGATCACTGCTGACAGATAGGAAATGGCGAGCCAGCTCCGTCGACCGCAAAACTCGCCATAACTCGCCTACTGATTAGAGATTCATCAAACTCAACACAGAAACACCGAGGGCGCTCAACATCATTGGACACTCATGTTCGCCTCGCGTGAGCCCGACAAGCGACACTAACGCACCAAGGCTCCGAGTGTGCACCGGATGCGTTGAATATATGGAGCATGCCCCTCTTGATGGCTCTGTAATGTTCTACAACCCTCCAAGCCCGAACAACGCCTGCAATTTGTGCTTGGCATTCAATTGTGAGGTGCTTTGCAGGCTGCGTTGGTCATTTCAAAAACTTCGTGCCAAGCCTAGTGCAAACGGCTTACCTGTTGCCGCACGGCCGTTCCTGCACACAACGATTGTTTCTTGGGAGTTGGGGTGTCCCCAAGCCGTACTAGCCTTATGCAGCCCATTGCTTAGTTTTACTACCTCGGAGTGCTTTGGACGGAACGGCGAGGTTTGGAGGTGTGGTGGGGGGGGTGGAAACAACAGTGGAACCCAGGCTCAAATCCTGCATCAGCTGGGAAGCGGCAAGCAACATGACTACTGCATGTCGGCAAACGATATCAACCAATCCATCCCCATGCTTGTCAAGGTGGAGAAGCTGACAGGAACTTTCTTCGGGTTCCACACGTCCCGCTTGACATCTGGAACGTGACTAGCAATACAGTGAGCGTAACAAGGCTGTGCACATTTCCGCATCTTGAGATGAGGACTGACGTAATGCCAATCTTCGAACCGATGTTTGCAGCCCGAAATATGAAGGAGCTGCAGGGTGTCGGCAGGCTTCCGCAACACATGCCCCTGGAAATGCCATGGTCTACGGTCTATGCATGGCTGCAAGCGTCCAGTTAAAATGAGGGCGCACCACTTGCAAAAGGATGTGTATAAACCTTCTCCTAAGACGATGGGTAACTAAAGCAGTGCTCCGTTTGTTAGAGTCAGGAATGAAAAGGTGAGCACAAAGGCAGTACAGAGTACAGAGTCGCTTGCAAGTGCAACGACAGTGGGTTAATGCTTCCATCGCGCCCATTGGTATGTGAAAAGCTCTACACTAGCAGGCTGAGGCTTGCTCTCCAGCAACTTGTGGGCCTTTGCCTCATCGAAAAGGATGCCGCCGGGAAATGCACAAATCCCAAACCGAGCACATGCTGTTAAGTTCTCTGTTCTGTGCTACACGAAGCATCGAAGGTGGTAAAACCTCGGTTGTCTGCACATGTCACCTTCCCGTTTCAAGTGCCCACAAGCGCGCCACCTTGTCCACACACAGCACGCAAGCGTGGATCGATGCTGTTGAGCAGGTTGGGTTTGGATTCAGCTGCAACTCTTCCGCTTAACATACTAGGCGGACTGTGCAGCCAGACCTCACATGATCAACCTAGTTCACTGCATCTTGCCTTAAACTGCGAAGATGTGGTGGATTGTCGCAGCCCACCCTCACCCAAAAGCATCACAAGATGTTGGGCTTCCCGAGTCCTCCGACCGAAAGTTTTCAAGCATCTTGTCCATGCCAACCTTCGGATTGACCTGACAAGCAACAGTGCTGCTCAAGCTTGTCGTCTCACTGCCTTCACAGGCTTAGCTGCACAGCCTCCTTGTCTTCGGCTTTGGGCTTGGTCGGCACCCTGTTCTTGCGAACGAAGTTGTGCAAGTCTTCGGCCGTTCGCTCCGAAAGCTTCACAATATCCGCGGAACCAGGCGCCAAATAAAAAATTGTAGGATAGCCGGTGTACTCGAAGCCACCATAGGGAATCCCGTTTGCGTCCCCGTTCAGCTTTGCAACCACGATACTCCTTCCCTCATCTGCCATTTTTCTTGCAAACCTATCGTACTCGGGCGCAAGCTTCTTGCAGTGACCACACCATGGGGCGTAAACTTCCAACATGACATGCTGGCCTTGATCCAACGGACCGAACACCATATCTCTGAACGTCATACCAACTACGGTCTTTACAAGCTCTGGCTGTGTGGCTGGTGGCGGCTCGGATTTCACGAACTGCTCCGCGAGCCAGATCCCTAAAGAATCACTCGAGTATGGCTCGTCGGACTCATACGGCTGGTACACTGAAATCTTCCTGGCAGTGCCAGGCCAGAGTAGTGCCAGGCCAGCAGAGTCCTTTTGCGAACCGTGCAAATAGTTGCACACAACAGCTAATTATCAGCTAGCGCAGCTAGTCATCCAACTCAACTAGACAATAAAGCAAATTCAAAAAATGCCAGCAGCGTCACAGGACGTCTGGAGTATGAAGTT